GATATATTTATATTTATATGTGTGCGTGCATGTGTATATATGTAACTGTAACTGTGACTGTGTGTGATTGTGCCTGTGTCGCGTTGCGCGCTGTGCTGGCAACTTGTTGAAAAATTCAACTGTACGCACGCCACACACTCTACGAGCAGAACAGACCGCTAGCTCCGCTTGCCTTGCGCTGCTTCTACGTAGCGGATTGCTGCTGATGCATAGCTAATGGCAGCGGGATTATGGTGCTCCCAAATTCTTCGCACAGGCGAAATGATTTGTTATTGGATTTGATTGGGTCGGACGGTGACAGCGACGGCGACGGCAGGCAAAACACTTTTCACACAGTTGGCAGCACGCGCGCTCTGCACACCAAAAATTTTTCTGCTGTTATCGTTGCTTACGTTCTTTTTTTCAGAGCAGCGCTGTGTGATTTGTTTGTCAGCTGCCTGGGGGCCAGTGGCAGGATGCAAGGACACAAATTGTTTATCGCTAGTTTAGCACGCGCGTTTTAGCTCACATTCAACATTAACTACAATTTATTGATCAGGTTCTTAGCCCTTTTTGCGCAAAATATTATTTTGTATTGCTCACTCGCTCGCTCGCGCTGCTTTACTGCCTCGGTACTGGCGCAAACACACACAAACTCATCTGCACAAGACACACACATACGCACACAACCAAGCTATCCACACATACACCAATATATACAGAGAATACGCACTCGCAAGCACACATATGCATGCGCACGCAGCGACGGCAACCCGTTTTACAGTTGAGTGTTGCCAGATAGTTGGCACATAAAATAAGCCACAATATTTTTAGAAATAGTTTTAACGCAAAAAAGCAAACCAAAAAAATTGTTAGTTTAGGAATAATTGTATATTATTTACGTCTTGTTTACATTAGACATTTAATAATTCCACACCCCGATGACCATATAAAAAAAGCGCGCGATAAGTCAATATACAGCTGGCAGCACGGCAAACAGCTGTTAGGTTGTGCGACACTGCTGGCACCAGGGCTGCAACTACATACAATTCTGGCGCTCGATTAATTAATTTGAAATAACGATTATTCATCAATTTCATACGTGCTTAGGTGACCATAAACAGCTGCTTGTAAATTGGTAATTAATTTTAGTACTTAAGTAAAGTACTCAAAAGTGATTTTGCAACATTTGCAAAACAACTGACTGTTTTAAAGCGCTAAAATACCGTTTGACTTGCCAACACATATTTAAGTACATATATACAAAAAAGCTATAAAATCGAAAACGTTTAAAAACAATTGCATTTTAGAATTGCTATTTAAAATAATAATACATTTACAGATGTCGTCTAATTGTACCGTTGCTCATTTTACTTTCAAACACATTCCATTGTGCCTCTAATTTCTGACACTCGCTTCGTTGACCCAGCCCACAAAACGCCGCGCTGTCTGTGCGAGTCATACTCTGCAGAGAGACAGTGTGAGAGAGATAGAGAGGGATAAGATGAAGGTGGGAGCGAGAGCGAGGATGAGGAGACTGGCCGACTAACTGACTCAGTGCATGCCATTTACCGTTGCGGCTGTTGTTTTGGGCAACAACAAAAACGAAGTTGGCGCCGTTTGGTCAGAAAATTTTAAGTACTGAGTGCATATGTATATACACATACATATGTATGTATGTATGTATAAGTATATCTGCATGTAATTATATGTATTTGCACTGTACGTATTGTACATAATTATAACTATTGAGATTTAATTGAAAACATTTTAAGCCAATGAGTAACAATATTGAAACCTTGTACTGGCATCTTGTTGAATCAAATCAATTAAATATCAATTAAATGTAAGCAAGCAATTTTATAGATGCTAATGACTGCAACGATATGGTATGACGTGATATTGGGATTTCAAAATGTCAAACTATGTGTGTATGTACAAATAAATGTATTCTTTTAAGACATAATTTAATTTTGCAAAATAGATTTACGACTATTAACTACATTTTAAATATCATAGATTTAAAATAAACAAAATATTTTAATGCCGTAATACGGTTTGTCCAGGTATTTAACTGTATGTATGTATGTGTTGAAGACAGGCAATTCACTTTTGTTTTTTTGTGACGGGACAGCTAGACGCTAGCTAGCTACAGGTTAGCTCACGACTAGACAAACTCGTGCTTTTTATTTATCGCAGCTGATTAAAATGTTTTGTTCCTATTAAATGTTATGTATTTGTTGCACTGAGCAAACTGCGAACAGACAGCACATAAAAATATAAGTATAAAAAATAAAGCACAGTGACACTGCACTTAAAATGCTAGCTGGAATTGAATTGATGTTGATGCGCGTGAAAGACAGACCGAGAGACAGGCAAAGAGAGAGCAGGAGAGAGAGAAGAGGCGCTGATTCAGTTCAAAGTCTTTGAGGTGGACGCGTGAGAGGCACGCAAGCTTAGAAACAAGTACTGAGAAATCGAGAAGTAATATTTTTGCAAAATACAGATTTGTTTGAGAATATGTATATGTATGTGTGTACGTTCAGAATAAAATTCCGTTCCTAAACACTAATTTGCAATAGCAAACAGCAGCAGCGACAAGAAGCAAATCTGTGCACTCACACTCTCATTGCTTCATGAAAATTTTCGGTTTTTGCAATCGTCTTTTTATTGCCGAACGCGATAGTCACGCGAACATCACTAGACGCTTTAAGCTGTCAGCCTAGGCAAGTGAAGCTGCGCCTGTTGCTGCCGCCAGCCACCCACCCGCGTTACAATCATCTGTGCGCGGGTCCGTTTTATCATTGTACTTTTTTTTTTTTTTTTTTTTGAGTTGAGCTGAGTTGTGTTGTGCTTGTCATCACTGCGTAAGCACAACTTAAAAATACTTGTGGCGACCATTCAAAGAGGTAATTGACACCGCAACGAGAGCGAAAGAGAGAGAGAGTGAGTGAGAGAGGGTGACACAGGCCTGGWGGAAGGTGGGCAGGCAGAATGACGAAAGCGAACAAAGGCGCAACAGTCGCAAAGTTGAAAAAGCATAAATAAAAAAATCTGGCAACGTCATCGACGTCATTGACATCATCGTGAATTATTGGTTATGCGAGTTCAAAATCGAAACATTAAATAATGGCATTTCATTTCTTGTTATTCATACATATATTTATGCATACATATGTGTGTGTATGTATATGTACATTCGCATATGCATATCTACTGTCTTGCTCTTGTTGTTGCTGTAGCTGCTGTTTCCATTTGACATTAACAGCACAAGTCACAGCAAAGACAGCCAACGGGAATGGCAATATTTGCCTGCTGCATTTTAATCAATTCCAATCAGTCGTCGTCGTCGTCGTCGTAGTCGTCTTTTGCTTTTGGGCTTTGACTTTGGCAGCGACGCAAAGGCGAATGCGGCGGCGGCGGCGGCCGCTTTCTCGTTCTTAATGCCTTCGCGTTTGTTCATACGCAAAATGTGACGTCAGCATGATATATTTTTAGCTCGTCTCATGCATTGCATTTTGTTGCGAATGCCTTTGTATTTGTGTGTGTATTAATTAAAGCTAAATGAGTGCACAGCAGCATCAACAGAAACAGCAGCAACAACAACGACAACAACAACAACAACAGCAACAGAAATCGCAGCATAAACGAAAACAGTTAATACTTGCCATGGGAACTCGCAACGGAATGGCATTGGAACTGCGCGTGGGCAAAGGGCAAGGGGGAGGTACAATGTGAAACGCGAAACGGGACAAAAAAAACGGGAGCTGGAATATGTGTGTGTGCGTGGGAGATACACACACATACATGCATACATAAGCGCTTCAAACGTTGCCGCTGTCAAACAAACCAATTGTTTGGGGGCGAAACTTTTTGCCGTTAGAATCTGTTGCACATGGCCAACAAATGCCTGCCGCCAGCCCGTCGCCACCCAACACCGCCCACTCGACGGCTTTTATGCGGATTATCAGCTAGCAGTAATTTGATAATACAACCATTTTGCGTCTACACCAGCTACCAATATCTACCAATACATGTGTATGTATGCATATAAGAAGTATGTACATACATACATATGTATGTATGTGCGTATGTAACATGAGTACAAGCCGATTTGAGCCAAAGCAATCGCGAATTGAAATTCGATCGACATGAACTGAACCATAAATCAAAGCGAATCGAATTCAAATTTGAAAATCATCGGATTTTGAATTTGAAGCTAAGCTCGGTTCACGAACTAACTCCTAATTGAGTTAGCTTAAACTCTGAACCGCACCAACACTCGTGCAGCCCTGGTGCGTATCTATCCATATACTTATGTACATATAAACATTCAATGTATATATATATGTATATGTATATGTATGTATGTATATATTTGTGCATATACGCGAATGAGTATTTGTTATCATTTTTGTTTTGGAGGCGGCAGCCCTTCCCCATTTCCGTTATCAGCGTCGCTGTATTACGTTGAACGGCAGGCAAAAGCATAGAAAAATCAGCTCAACTTTGCAGCTTAATTGGAGCCGGGACTAAGGGAATAACGGAATGCGAGCATTCCGGGTGTACAGTATTTCAGATATTGACAGATTCATGCGATATAATAAATACCACACATACATACATACAGACGTGAATCTACAAATTTACGATACGATCTTGAATTCCAAACGCCTCAAATGCGAAATTCCTCTAACTTACTAACGCGATGTGATACGATCGATGATGTAATGAAATATCTTACAGAAACAAGACCTATTAAACAGCTGTTTGGGTAAATACATAGATAAAATAACGGTTGAATGAAATAAATGATTTGAGCAGGGACCGCAAATAAGTGTTACGCATTTAAAAAAATTGAGGCTCAAAAGTATTCCCAAAAAGAGAGAGGAAAACACACATAAGGATATTTTTTTATGGCGAGTTCAAAAAAAGGATAAACTTTTATTGGTAATTTTTTATAAAAAAATTATTTTTAATTATTAAAATTGATTTTTATGATAAAAATCAAAAATAATTATTACAAAACAATTTTATATAAAAATCAAATCATAAGTCTTATATTTGATTTTTATTATAAAAATCAAAAATAA